GAAAATCAAGTTTTAAAATTTATTTGAGATTATCAGCCAGAATGTCCGACTAGTTTTTTAAATATTTTAAAAGGTTGTATAGTTTTTGAGACTAGATTTATTGGACACAAATCCCATTAATTGTGGAATATTTATTAATAATAAACAGAAAAAACACAAAACGTGGACATACAGCCTCTTGGTTCTCGGCTGACGATATGTCAATAATTTCCATAAAGAATCCAGCCTAGGACAATAATGTTTGCCGACGACACACATTTATTTTTATTGCACAACAACATTAGAACTTAGAACTTAAATAAAATTCCAACTGGTTCAAAGTAAATGAACATTCAATAAGTATTGACAAAACTAACTGGACGCAACAAAATTTCAAGAAGTATTGGAATATTATACAAATCAAAAAACCATTTAAATTTTAAAGCAACTGTATTATTCACTGCTATATCAACTATGCAAATATTGCATTGGGCACTAACAAAAGTAAACTAGAACCTCTTCATCATCATCAGAAAACATATAGGAAATTTAGTTAAATCTATTAAAAAAAAGCCTCTCTGACAAAAAATAAATATTTTAAACATATATCAACTTAACGTATTTATGTTTTATGTACAAATGTAAAACGAATTTATATCCGTTTTCTTTTCATAGTTTATTTATAACAAAACAAAAAAATAAATACGATCTAAAAAATGATGATTTTTTGATGCAACCATTTTCAAAAATTAGTCGTGAACCATATCTTTGTAACAAAATCTTTAATAACTTTGATTTTTTTTTTTTGAATTGAGTTACATATCTGTTAAAAAAAGTTAAAAGAAATAGTTTTTGAAATTGACAATATACAAATGTACTTTTAAAACCTTTGAAATTCTTTTTATTTATTATTTATATCGGTTTATACAATTTGTAATAAATGATTTTAAATGATCGATTTGTATTTCAATTATTTACGATCTGCAATATATATTGTTATTAAATTATCTGTTTATATTATCTTAAAAAAAATTTTGTGTAAATTTTTTATTTAATTCTTATTTTCTTGATATGATTTGTAATTCAATTATTTACGATCTGTAAGCCTATAATTAGCTATCTATACTAAAAAAAAAAAGTAAGAATAAAAAATTAAAGTAAAAAAAAAAAAAAAAAAAAAAAAATAAAAAAGATAAATAAATAAAATGTATATATACATATATATATATATATGTGTGTGTATGTGTGTATGTGTATATGCTTATATATATATATATAAATACATATATATATATATATATATATATATATATATATATATATATATATATATATATATATATACATATATATATATATATATATATATATATATATATATATATATATATATATATATATATATATATATATATATATATATATATATATATATATATATATATATGTGCGTGTGTGTATATGTATGTATATATATATGTATATATATGTATGTATGTGTGTGTATGTATGTATATATGTATATATATATATGTATGTGTATATATATATATATATATATATATATATATATATATATATATATATATATATATATATATATATATATATATATATATATATATATATATCTACTATAGCATATTTATATGCGCAATTGCTCACTTTTTTTGCTAGCCTAAATTAAGTGAGCGTTTTTAGAAAACGATGAGGGAAAACGAAGAATAATGAATGAAAATGTTGTTGACCCATACCAAACCCTCAGTCGATGTAGCAGCACTCCACTGCGAGTCAGGCTATTTGTCAGTCGATGTATGTACTGAAGCCCCCGGCAGCAGGCTATTTGACATTAGGGGAGTATGACATCATCATGTTCACCTAACTCAGCAGTATAAGATATATATGTATATAATAGTAGAAATAGTAATAACAAAGCTAATTACAAAAAATTATTTCTAATTTTACTTAATTAACTTTTTATATAGACATAGAAATACGCCAAACGACGCTATTAAGGGAATCTGCGAAAAGATTTTTTTTGGAGTTTTATACCCAAAAATGCTGAATCTTCTTTGATTTCCTTTTTTAAGGTATTAAAGTATAGACATATATATAATAGTTACTATACCAGAATTTATATTAAGTTTGCATCAATACTATATTAATGTATAAAAGTTATATTAATGTATTTTTATCAATCTGATACGTAATAATTTTATATACATTTTTTCTTTTTATCCCGATAATAAATGTATATTTTATATGGTATACGTGGAGAAAAAAAAAAAGAAAAAAAAAAAAAAATATATATATATATATATATATATATATATATATATATATATATATATATATATATATATATATATATAAATTATAAATGAATAAGATTCTCAATCGCATTTTGGTAAGCAGTAAACGGACTCTTTTTTTGTTTGTTTGTATGCTCTTTATTACATTTTTAAACATTTCGTTTACTATTTCATAAAGCTTTTAAGTTAAAATATAATAATTCAAATAATTACAAGTGAATAAATTAAATATATATATTTATGTATGTATATATGTATATATATATATATATATATACATATATATATATATATATATATATATATATATATATATATATATATATATATATATATATATATATATATATATATATATACATACATAAATATATATATTTAATTTATTCACTTGTAATTATTTGAATTATTATATTTTAACTTAAAAGCTTTATGAAATATTAACGAAATGTTTAAAAATGTAATAAAGAGCATACAAACAAACAAAAAAAGAGTCCGTTTACTGCTTACCAAAATGCGATTGAGAATCTTATTCATTTATAATTTATATATATATATATATATATATATATATATATATATATATATATATATATACATATATATATATATATATATATATATATATATATATATATATATATATATATATATATAATTTATAATATATATTTAGATATAAAATTTTTTACTAGTATGAGGGAGAGTGGTGTAAGTATGTGCAATCCGAGTTACATAATTTAAGCAGCACATCACTGCCCCTTAGTTAAATAGAATATAGTTACAAATTCATTTGTTCTGAAGGGTAATCACGCTGATTTGCTGTTTTATCAAAAAACAAATATATTTGTTTTTCGTTTAAATTTTTATCAGCTAAAATTTATTATCAATTATGTAGAATGATTAAAAAAAAAATAGTATTAACTTATTGGATTCATTTTCTACACCATAATACTCAATATAAAGATGAACTTTTTTTCCACTTAGACATTCTTTCCAAATATCATAAATTGTCCTTGCAATGTTTTAAACCAAGTATTTTGTATCTATTAAGTGTCCTAAGTCTGCAACATTTTATGAGGATAAAAATTTTAGGATCATGTTAAAACTAAATCTTTGTCTTCAAACTTAAACGCTAAATTTTAACTTGCAGAGATAATTTTTAACTTACAGAAATGTTTTAGTATTTATACAAGTTCTGCAGGCAATTGATGTAAAAATTCTAAAATTGATGAACGATGAATTTCATAATTAAATAAAGTTAGTAATATACTCATATAGAAAATGAAAGCAAGGTTTTATCTTAGAACGCAAAAATTACAAACTTTATGTGCAAAAAGCAAGCCAGAGGCAACATAATGTAGAAAGCCAGATGCAAGGAACTCGAAAATAAAAGATGAAGTCAAATTATCGATCACGATGTGCAAATTACTGAATTCTTTAAATCAAAACAAACCAAAAACATCAATTTAAAATGTAATTTCCTGATTTCTTTTCACAAATTGATCCATCAAGTAAATTTTTGCAAAATTTTCCCCAAAAAACACAATAATATTTTTATGCTATGAGCGTTGTTTGATAAATAAAAATATTTCTTTTATTACTAAGATGAACATATTTAAATGCAAATCCGATTTATAAAATAAAACGACTGATTGTTTAAATTAATTATTTTACAATGTTTGAAATAAACATGTAATCGCATTTTTGAAAAACTCAAAAAATTGTATAAAAAAAAAACGTTTTGAATTGAAGTTATTCATCTTAGAGCTGTTCTATTGATTTTGGTTTTCGATATTTTATACTGTATTCTTAATAATTAGTTATCGTGACAACTTAAACACTATGTTCATTTTAGAGGATGGTAGACTATATATGTCACTGTTTTACTTTTGTATTAAAGTACTGTAAAATGGAATTATAAAATCAAACCAAATTAAAAAAAGACTACGAAAAAAACACATTAAGAAACATACAGCATGTATCTTTATCATTAAACATACAGCATGTAAGTATCTTTATTATTTTGTAATGATGTACTTAACTATGTACTTATTGATTATAATATTCAATTGATAAAAATACCTTTACTTATTGAATGTTTCTAAAATAACACCTCATGAATTGTTTTATATGAATTCAGCTTAACAGCTTTACCGTAACAAAATTCGAAGAATAATTTCAAAACTAAAGACATCATCTTTATTTCAAAACATTTTATTAAAAATTTATTTTTTTCAATAAATATTAGTGACTTTGAAGTAAAATAACTAGAACAAAAGAGAAGAAACAAGATTTTGAGAAAAGAAAAAAAACATAGAAAAACAAGCGGTTTTTAACAACTTTTGCATTACTATATTTAAAGATTTATTTATTTTTTTAAAAAAGTCAAAACATAAAAAACCAAAAGTTTAAAAAAAAAAAAAAAAATCAAATAACAAAACAAAACAAAAAAGCATACGGACAAATAAAAATGTATTTACATCAAATTTAAAAAACAAACAAAATAGTGTTTGGTAAGATACGAAAGTTCTTTTGATCGCAAAAATATGTTATAGAAAAAAAAATTAAAAAAAAAAAAAAAAAATTCTATGGTAATAATTTTAGCGCAAATTATTGCAGAATGATTAAATGTTATCGAATGATGTAAAAGTATTAATAAAAAACGTTGAAAGCAAATGTATTTAAAAACTAAAGAATAACTATGAATGATGAATATTTATGCAGAGATTAAAACTTTCATGTATAAAAAAAGATCTATACAGTATATCAAGCCTTCATTTAAAATTCTTAAATGTACTGCTTAAAGTCATATGATAAACCTGTCCACCAGACGCACCGGTTGAAGCAAAGAACACCTAAGAAAGTTGAAACAAACGATTGAAAAAGAAATCTTGATATTATTTTATTTGTAGATTAATAAACAAAATCCAAAAATTACCTTTTCGTTGCGTTCACACAAAAACCGAAATTGTTGGGCGCGCTTGTGCGTAAACACCCCGTCCAAAAGTCCAGTTTCTAAACTTCTTACTTCAATAGCTTTTTCACCCCACCCCATAATTTGGCCACTACCAACATGAGCTATTATAAAAAAAAAATTCAGTGAATATGCAGTTTTTTTGAAAAAGCTTTAAAAAAATAACTTTTTTAAAACTACTTTGTTAAAAGGAAAATTTACTGACCAACTGAATACGGAGGTTCACCCCATCTTATAGTTGCGTCTTTAACCTGACGACCAGAGGTGCTAAAATAAGCGCCCTCATCTGAAAAGTAAAAAAACAAAGTAATACTAAACAAATTAACACTCAATAACAATAAGCAATACTATAATTAATACTATTCAGTAATGATCATTTTATACAAATAGATTAAATTATTGAACTAATTAAAAAAGCATAAATAAAAATACTAGAAGTAGTGGGAAAACATCGTAAAGTATTAAAACACAAGAGAAAACATTGTATGTTTAAAATATTGAAACACAATTAAGAGATAACGTCATTTGTTTAAAATAATAAAATACAATTAAGTGTTTTATTATTTTAAACAAATTTTATGTGAATATTTTGTTATTTAATAAAAGCACAGTAAAAGGGAAACTGGAATAATAATCTTCTAAGAGTCAATTCCAATTAATAATTTTTAAATGATTATTTTTATTTATTTAACAATTTAAAATAGTATAAATAGCAAATTAGAAATTTGTTGTAAATAGTAAGTAAATATAATATAAATATAATATAAACAAGTAAGTAAATATAATATAAATATAATATAAACAATTATTGAAGGAATGCATTTTTTAGTTTAAATTTGCTGCATTACCATGCTATTGTAAGTTTCTAATTAATATTTCCAAAATAATTTGTATTCTGTTATACATATGCTTCATATATAAAATCTACAAGTCTACAAAAAGTTAAATTTAATCTCTAATTATATTTATAATTATATTATTGTACATATTTACATATTAACGAAATAAAATGACACTGAGATTTGGTAAAGATCTTGATGAAAAACTGCATCAAACGAAAAGCTTTATATGCCAATGCATGCAATCGGCTGTATGTGGCAAAGTTATAGAATATTAAAAAAATTGTTTGATATTTAACGTTATTGCTTCATTCATAACTTAATTATTGCTTCAATCTTAACAAAAACAGGTAAAATAGTATATTATTTAAAATAGTGAAATAGTTTATTATTTATATAACTACATGAAACTACATATTATGAAACTACATGAATATGTGACCATATATATATATATATATATATATATATATATATATATATATATATATATATATATATATATATATATATATATATATATATATATATATATATATATATATATATATATATATTCATTCCATTATTGAATTTTAGATAATTCTTTGAACGAATGCAACAACAGAAATTTACATTTATTACATCACATTTATTTGTACATCTAATTTCAAGCAAAATCATTTATATATAGGACAATGGATTTAACACTAGAAAACACTTGTTTTTTTTTATAAAAGACCAAGTCATATTGGATTGTAAAAAAAAATTTATTTTTGTTTATTTTTAAAAATATTTATATAAATCGTTTAAAAATAGTTTTTTTTTTTTTTTTTATTACCATATATTGAAATATATGTTAAATATTTAGAAAGGTCGTTGTTTACATTTTAATTTTGGCCTTAAGCAACTAGCTTAAATAATTATAATTAAAGAATAAAAATCTATTAAATAATTATATATCATATAAATATTTAATAATAAAAAATGTTCAAGAGGTCAAAAAAAGTATCAGTGCAACGTTAGTAATAATGCAAAACATTGAACGGTTCGATGAAGAACTATAGTGGGTTCTTTAAAGAACCTTACTTTAAGGTTCTTCCAAAAGGTTCTTCGAAAGGGTTCTTTGAAGAACCTCTACAGGTGCTCCACCAGCGTCAATGCAAAGAACCCTTAAAGGTTCTTTGAAGAACCGGCTTATAAGTGAATATTAAAAAAATTAAAAAGAATTTAGTGTTGTAGTCATCAAAAACGAGTAATAACAAAAAAAAAAAAAAAAATTTCTAATCTTTATCATTTCCCCAACATCTATTCGCTCTAATCTAATCTTACAAAAATATGTTGGTACACCTAATGGCCATCTGTTGAGACATCACACAGACATTTGTGAGATAAAACACAGCAATTCGTCAAGATATCTCAGGGTCATTTATTGAAATATTTCAAAGTCATTTGTTAAGATATCTCACAAAAATTTGTTAAGATATCATAGTGCTACAAAATTTAAATTAAATATGAAAAGTATATTTTTCTAAAGACAAACATAAAATTTAACTTGAAGTGAGTTTAACTTTAAATCTAATTTAAAACAGTAGATACTATCTACTGTATCTATGATATTATTTACTGTATCTATGAACAAAAAACAACTTTAATTTTTATATTTCATGTCCGACATTTGCACAAACTCATCTAACAGATTTAAAGATTTCAGTGTAACTATAGTTATTTGTGTAACTATAATTATAGATATAAAAATAAGTAGTAGAAGACTGAAAAGCCATTAAACAAGACAGATACATTTCTAGACAGGGACTTATACATTGAAAGACATAATGAGATAATGAAATGTCTTCAATTCACTAAGAATCTATGAATAGAAAATTGGTATTTAGTGCATTGTTACAGATCAGAGGCGCTGCCAATAGCAGAAATGCTATGAAACTGCTCTTTACACACTAACTGCTCTTTCCACACACACACAAACACAAAAGCAGCACTTATTTATAAATAGAGGTTGGTCTAACCTTATAAATATAGCTTGAAATATAAAATTAGAATATTTTTCACTGAACTTAGGTGGGAGAAAAAAACAAAAATGGCACTTTCTTACTAGACTATATACATAAGATAAATATTTCAGGAAAGAATCTTTGCAAAAATAGTGGTGCAAAAGTCTCTAAAAAAAAATCGCACTTAGAAAAAATAAAGGTTGTATAAACCTACGATACTATCTTGCCGATATTTACAAAACTTTTCTAAATGAGATGCAACTTTATAAGGATCAAACATGGCAGATAGAGCAGGTTTAACTTGACAGATAGAGCAGGTTCAACTACATTTACAATACCTTTTTGGACCTTGTCTAAAAGAAAAAGAGCATCATTACAAGAACCCAAATATGAAAACAGTATTCGATACATGGACGAATAAGATATTTGCAGGGGTGAAGAATGGAATCAGGAGAAAGAAAATGGCAAGCGCAATAAAGAGAAGCAACCTTAGCAGATTTGCAATTTATTGTATATATGGGTTCCATGGGAATTCAGTAGCAAATGATAATCGAAGAAGACATAACTAGAGGAGAGAGTTGCCATTCATTAATATAAGAATGTCAACAATAGTTGTTTGCAGTAAATAACTTTGTTGAAGTTAAAATTTAAAAGCCACTGCAAGTCCCAAACAGTTACAAAAAAAAATTTAGATTTAAGATCGGCTGCCAAACTGGCAGCTGATCTTAAATGTAATCTTTCTTTTGTAACCATTTAAGCTTGAGTTGCACTATTTCTTGATGGTTGAGCCATTAGGAAACAGTGCAACTTAAGATGTAAGATTTTCAGGAAGATCTTAAATATAGATCTTAAATATAGAAAAAAATAAATATAGATCTTAAATATAGAAAAAAACCAGGACTAATAATCTATTATTGAGGCATCCCAGAAGTAAATGGAAACAAAAAAGAGTGTGGGCCTTCAAGGATCAATATAATATTGTGGTTAGAAAGAAATGATTAAAAAAAAAATCTTAAAAATTTTATTAAATAAACCATATGAAGGAAGCTTATGCACAGTGGGCAAGAACTCACTTTTACTGGAAAAAATCATAACTAATTTGAAATTAGGGCTATACTGACTAAAATTAGGGTGAGTAATAATATGATATCTGCGCTTCATATGTAGGTGTTATTTTTTTAATTCGTTGCTATGGACCAAATTTTGGATAGCAAAAATCTAGTTTTGGTATTTGTAGTTGGCATTTTTACAATGAGATGTTCACCAAACTTTACATAAATACCAATATAAGATCGCGCTTTTTAAAAAAGTGATTATATTTTTTATTTACTTGCTATGGATACTTAATTTTGCTTAGCAACAAATAACTTTTATTAGTTGCATATGTTTTATAATGTTTTGAAACAAGACATCAAAATTCTGACTTTATACTTTTGTCCAGTCACTGACCCACTTTGTTATGGAGGAGACTACAATGCCAAACTTTTTTGAAAGTTTATGATACGTCAAGAGCCTTTGCCTCTCTGCCTCAGTAGTTTACCATATGGCACTGCTCTAAACATTCATGACAAGCAAGCATGTGCAAGAATAATGTAAAGTTATTTTAATAAATCTATTGGCACAGAAGATCAGATGGCACATGCTAAGACGATGCTCATTTCCTTCATTACTAAACAGAATTTAGTCTCACCCCGGCAATAATAAGATTTTGGAAGTTCTCACAAAATAATTTCTTAAACTTGTTGTGTAGAACAGGATGTACAGTTATAAGTTAAGCTGCACATTTAGCAGACAATATGATATGAAAAAAATGTACTTAAATTTTTATTTATTATTTTTACTTTTACGATATAATTTATAAACATTTATAAATATTTATAATACAATATAAAATTTACGATATAAAAAAAGATTGACATAAATGCATACTTTTTAATTAATGTTGATGAATGTTTGTTTAAAATTTTTTAACTAATATAGACTTAAAGTGTTTGAGTCATATGTTAAAATAGCATTTGTCAATGGGACAAATTAAAGTTAAAGAGAGATTATTCTACTGAGTTATTTACTACTATATCAATTAACCCTATTGAGTTTAAATAACTATCCTCTATTGACCCAAAATTTGTTAGAAATACAGTTGCATGTTAAATGGTGCAAAAGGTGAAAAAATATTTTCATAAAAGTTTATGATGCAGACTTATTTGAAAGGGTATTTGTTGCATTTTATCTCGCTAAAAACTAACCAGCAATAAAATTAAAAAGATTTAAGATTTAATTTTAACTTAAAAAAAATTTAAAATTAAATTAAGATTTAAAAAATTTAGTGGTTTTTAATGGTCAAAAAGATTCAATTGTAGTTTTTGTATTCAACTGACCAAGATTATTGTTTATCAATATTTACCGAATCATATGGAGTTACTATGGATACCGAATCATATGGAGTTACTATGGATACCGAATCATATGGAGTTAAGTCATTACTATGGAAAAAGCTATCAAGTATTATAACATACAACTACTCTGTACAGATCAAAATATTTAACCCAAAACTTTGTGTTACTTTTACAAATTTTCATTAACTTTAAAAATGAAATATTTTGCCAAGCTATTAATGTTGTCCACATGCCAGGAATTAGCCTGACATGTTACCATGCTATGTGCTACTCCTATAAAAGCGTCTCACTTGGCAGCAAAAACCATAATTCACATTCCAGCAGCATTTACATATTGCCTACCAAAGTTTGTTTAAACTCATCTAAGCTTTCTTCCAAATATTTTGGCCAGATTATAACAAATAGTATTTAAAACTATTTAAAGTGTATCCCATAAATAAAATAAGCCAAAAAAGTAAGTTTTCAAATAGACTGTTGGAGTATCTTTCTGTATCCAGAATTGAAAAAAGTTGTACTGCAACAGAATAGCTCTTAGTAACAAATTAGAGGACACAAATAGAACTTCAACATACACAAACAGAAAAAACATAACAGTTACAACAGAACAAAAAGCAAAAACTGCTATAAAAACAGAAACAAAAAAAAAAAAAAATCAAATAAAGTTTGAAAAAGTCATGGAAAAATTCTCAAAAAATTTTTAAAAATCAGCATAAAAAAAAACAAAGAATAAGAGAAAACAGGCTTAAAAAGACCAAATAATAGCAATCACAAATACCTTAAAATAGGAATAACTAAAAATACTATCAATGCTTTACTAGCACTTTATAAGCTTATAAATATTTCAATATTAATGGAGTTACATTATTTTCTATTTTCTGGCAAATTAGAAATCTGTTACTATTTGGATTTTACAAGATTAAAGTCCAAAATGAATATGCTGTTTTTGCAATTGCATATTTATTTTTAGGATTCGAATTACTAGCCTCAATATAAGTTGTAATGTATTTATACTATATTTATATTATTTTTGCCGACCTGGTGCCAACATTTAACAGTTTGAGAACAGTTTTTTTCAGAATAAATTGCCGCCCTCATTTTTCCTGATTTCGAGGAAATCAGGAAAAAAAAAAAAAAACTTATAAAGTAATATAAATAGCATTTATGACTTTTTTTTTGCGACAACAAATGCTTACCATTATAACATAGAAGAATGACACGCCCATTGCTACTAGGTAGTGGTACAATTGCATGAGCATTTATTGGATTACCATTTAATGGTACATGTATATCATACACCGAAGCTGAATCCAAGTCCACACCATAAAATCCTAAAACAAAATACACATACATTAAATATTACTAATGTTTAATTAAAATCAATGCTAAGTCAAAAAATGCTATTGAATAACAGAGAATCTGGCTCCAACTCAAATACTCAAAGATTATAAATAAACAATATTCTTAATAGAATATAAAAAACATGTTGCAAACATATTTTTTGAATTGTGTTATACAGATTTTTTTAAATTTAATTATTTTTTTATCAATATTTACAGTTATTCTTACTTGGCTGAGTTAAAAAAAAAATTACAATCTTTTTTTTTTTTAATTGTTAAGGAAGGGACGTGAAATATATAAATATCAAATTATGTTTTAATTTAAACAATCATTATGTAAAAACTACTACAAATGTAAAAGACAAAGTTCACTAAAAAAAAAAACTTATAAAAAACTGTTGTAAGCCTTTCCCCTAATCTAATGAAAAAATTTTCCCCTAATATAATAAAAATTTTTTTTATTATATTATTAGGAAACATAAACTTAAGTGAAAATTACTAGCTGTAAATCTTTTATTTAGGCGGTGTTTTAAAAACATTAGAAACATTAAAATCTGTAAAAATCTCAGTGATTCTACTTGAATGAGATTGGTATTAGCAATTTAGGGAGGAATCACATTTATTGAAAGTGAGTGCACAATAACGCGTTATCTTCAAAAATTATATATGTAAAGCCAACATTAATTAAAGATAAACACACAAAATGTGTTATCTTTGAAAGTCATGTATGTTAAGCCATTATTTATGAACTTTACAATCATTTTTCAAGAACAACAATACCTAATTCTGAAGCATATATAACTCTCAACTTGCTACTATCTGCTTGTATTGCCATATTTACCATTAGTGGTCGGTGAGTTAAATTACGAAATGACTAAAATATTAAAATATAGCAACTTATAAAGAAAGAAAATGATTTTTTTTCTAAAATCTAAAAAAGCATTTAAATAAAGAAGTTTTTCACATTGTTTTTTTTTTTCTGTGTTTAAAAACTAAAAAAGTGTTTAAAAACTATTTTGAGAACAATATTATAGAGCTATTGAATTTTACAATATATATAACCTTAAATGCCATGAACTTGTGATATGGTTTAGGTGCCCATGCATATACTTCAATAGCATACCCAACTGCAATAGCCAAAAACTTAATTCGATGAAAGTTAACTAAAATAAAAATAATTAAAAACTGCATATTTTTTATGTTCCTTTCAATCATAATAACAGGATCACCCTTCAATATAAATTTATATCTCTCACCTTATTTTAAAATACAAGCAAATAATACCTAAAACAACAGCCTTAAAAATACAATTTTATCAACAATTTTGTAGTAGGAGCATGATTAAGAGTTTTCTATTTGAATGCTTAAGATTTAAATATTTATTTTTATTATACTACTTTACTTTTAATTTTCAAAATATTTCTGCTCAGGATATGGTTTAAGATGATGATCATAATGACTTTAAATCATTATGTCTTAGGTTAAGATCAAAAACAATAATAAATAACAAAAAAATAAACACTTCTTAATTACTTTATCTAACATTACACATTACTTATCACACACACACACACACACACACACACACACACACACACACACACACACACACACACACAAACAGATATATATATATATATATATATATATATATATATATATATATATATATATATATATATATATATATATATATATATATATATATATATATATATATATTAACACAAACCCTTTGACTTTGTCAAAATTACTGGCCTGAAAATATTTGATATAGTTAATGCATGTTGTCTTAAATAAATTTGTATTATTTGATATTCATTGATGACTTCTTTGTTTTTGTTAGCTCTTCACTTAAAAAGAAAAAAAAATTCGTTGCTTGTAGCCTTGTTGAAGGTGAGTTTGTTGAAATCATTAGTTCCAATTTTAAAAGTTAAAATTGAAACTAATGATTTCAAAATAATAATAAGTAATTGTTAAACATCAATTCCCTATAGAAAGTTTATGCAAAAGACATTAAAAAGATTTTTAGATTTTTTGCCACTTATTTACAAAAGCAAAGAAGAGATTCTGCAAAGAATATTATTTGCTGATTATTTAATATTGTATCACTAAAACAATATTAATCTCGCAATTGAGTTTAAATGGCTGACACCAGGACTAATTATGGTGGACTAAAGAAATATAAATGTTGTCTCAAAAATATTTAAAGAAAAAATTTAATTCTCTGTTTTCTCGCTCATTCTTTTTTTATTTACTACATGCTCGCTTTTTTTTTCTCCCACAAAACATTCAAATTCACAAACCTTTTTTTTTCCACAAAACATTCAAATTCACCTTTTTATGCCAAAGATTTAAAAAAAACTTTTTCTTCTAGAGATTTTGAATATCTCAAATTCTTCATCAGAAATATCAAAAAAATAGTTTACCTAATTTGTAGTGACTGCAGCCTTCAAAATCTCCCACAGTAGAGTGGAACTGTTTGCTTTTGTCTGCCTAAGTATAAATTTGAGTTATAATAAATGACAAAATAAATTTTAATATTATTTAATATTGTATACAACATTGAATACTATTGTAATAAAATAATTTTTCAATATCGTTATACAAGTATCAACTCACTTTCCAGAGTAAGAAGTATACTAGAAAACATGTTTAATTTTGATCTCAGTTATTACAAGTAAATTTTGATCTCAGTTATTACAAGTAAATTTTGATCTCAGTTATTACAAGTAAATTTTTATCTCAGTTATTACAAGTAAATTTTTATCTCAGTTATTACAAGTAAATTTTGATTTCAGTTATTAAAAGAAAGTTTTGAACTCAGTTATTACAAGTAAAACTTCAAAAAACAAGATATTAACTGAGCTAACTAATTTATAATCACAAAATCAATAAATAATAAATATTTTAACAAATATCAATGTGGCTGCTCTTAATAAAGCATCACACTTTTTCATTCTATTTTTTGGAAAAAAACACACAAAAAAACTAGCAATCTAAAGACTGTTATCTTTTTTTTTTTAAAGCTGTTTAATTCTAGTTTCAAAATAATTTATAATAAATTAATATTTAATAAATATTATCATAAACCTCCTCTCCCTTTACAATTTTATTCTTCAATCTTGAGAGATAATATATTCGTAACTTGTTATACTTTCCTGAAAAAAATAAAACAAACGAAAGAATGGTAAGGTGAAAAATATATTAAGAATAAGCTGTCATATATATAAGAGGTGAAATTACTCTCTACCAAAAAACTTGTTTGAATGATAGAGACAGTTATATATGTATGAGGTGAAATTATTCTCTACCAAAATACTTGTTTGAATGAAGAGACTGTTTAACTTTAATTAAAAGAAGATTTTTAATCAAAAAAAAACTTTTCATTTCTTAGTGTTTAGTGGAAAAAAGACATGAAAAATTAAAATCAAAAAACATGAAACTTCTTTTTTATATTCGGTTAAAAAACAATTTTTTTATATGAAACATAATTTTTGAAAATTTTATTTCTATATTTATAATTTATATTATAATTCATATTATAATATATATTATATAGTATTTTATAATTTTAGCTTTACTCCTTTTGTGCACTAAGTTGACCTACATTTGAAGAACTTTTTTTTTTATAAAATAAGCACCCGGTAAATGTTCATGGGTTGTAAAGAACTTCTAAAACAACTTGAATTCAAAAATTTTTAAATTCAGGTGTCTGTTAGGAGAACAATAAAAAATATATAATATAACATACAATGTTATAATAAGTCAATTTTAATCTATGTTGTATTTATTCAATTGATCTTAAAAAACAAAGTTTTACCTAATCACATAAGAACAAAAAATTATAAAAACATTACTCTACTTATATCACTTAAAACTAGCAAAAAATTACAATTGTATTAATATTATATTTCCTGGTAGTCTCAGAGTTCCTGGTGCATCCGCTCATGTAAAATGTATATCAAAGTTGCTGGACAATCTTAAAACATTTGTTTCAACAATACTTACTAAGCATGAAAGTTTATTTAGAGTTTATTGCATCAGTTTGTTTGTCATACTGATTATGTTAAGAGTTAGGTCATGCCTCAAAATGCATGCAATGTTTTAAGCTATTATTTAAACTTCCAGCCACACTATAATAAAGTAAGTTTTTATCTGTTTTTTGTTTATATGTTTTTGACTTAAATTTTTGTTAACTAAATTTTTATCCCTATGGAAACATAATAATATTAATAAATGTGTAGTCATCATTTAAAAAAAAGTAATTTTATTAACTATTATTATTGGCTTTTCTTTTATATTAGACTCGCTTGGTTTAATATCCTGTCGATGCCTGCTTTCAGTTTCTTTTATATTAGACTTGCTTAGTTTATTATCCTGTTGATGCCTGCTGTTATAAATGATTTTGACTTTTATAACATCTTCCACATCTTAACCAGTTATGATGTTTTGAGCATTGAATTTTTACTAAAAGCCAATATGGAGAATAAATAGTATGAATCAACATGAAGAATTAATAATAGGTGTGGAACATAGACCAACCATAACCCATATTACAGGTCCTGATAGCTATAATAATGATAATAATACGAATAACTGCGAATAATAATAATAAAAATAATAGCCACAATCACAATCATAATTATTTTAAAATAATAATATTTACTAACCGCTAACTGAAACTAAAACATTTAATGTTTCCAACACATCTATTTGTTGAAATCTTCGACGAGTTATCAGTGGAAAAACTAAACAAAAGCATTAAAAAGTTATTTTGTGCAAATTCTTTATTGAGTTCAAAAAAAAAAAAAAAAAAAAAAAAAGTTTTATGAGCTAAAATTTGTTCAAAAATTTTAATCAAAGTTTAAAAAAACTCAAAAATTATTTACCTTTACCATTACCACTTTTATCTAACAAAAATTATTGCATACCTTTACCATTACCACTTCTATCTAACAAGTATAAACCATTTTCAGTTCCAATTAAAAGATTCACACCTAATAATCATTTTCGATAATATACACAAAGAAAATATTTTCGATAATATACAAAAAAGAAATATACACAAAGAAAATATAACTAAAATTGACAAAACCACAAAAAAATGCCAATAAAAAAATTTAGACACAATAGATATTTTATATAAAAATGTACAAAAATTAAATTAAAAAAACAAACAAAATTATCAACACTTTATAAAACAAACTATTTTATAAAAAAGGAGGATATTACATACCCCATAATGCACCACAAAGAATATCAGATCGAAACTTATGCCGATATTTTCGTATTTCAGGGAGCTATATTGAAAATCAGTTTAAAAACTAATAAAGATTACCGCAAGGGAAGTAATGAATAAAAGCAAGAAAATATTCAAGAGAACTTAAAAAAGAATTAAAAACAACCCAGCACATACATCAGGATTTTCTTTACTTTGCAATGTCCTTTCAGGTGTTACATTTACATTACATTCTGATATAATTGTTCTTCTACTCATGTTACTTGCATTGCTGACTACACTATGCTTTTTAGATTGGTGATCATCATTATTTCCCGATGACATATTTCCTATATTTAATGCAGTGATCGATGATGCAATAGAATCACGAACCTATCAAACAGAAAATTTATGATAAAAACTAAACCATTATTGAATATTTAAAAAGAAAATTTTTAAATTAGAAACACAGAAAAATAAAATAATAATAATAAAAGAAATATTGTAACAAATAATTATAACTATAATTATAAATAATTATAACAACAAAATTAAAAATAATATTAAACCACCTATTGTTATAAAATAAAGAAAAAATTGCAAAGTAATTGTGTAAATAATTGCACAATTAAAACTCTTTAAAGGAATCCTTACATTTGGTGATTGGCGTTGTTGGTGTGGAAGGACATCAGGAAGATTTTGGTTACTAGATAGCATTTCTAGGCTTAACTGGGATGTTTCTGAACCATCATCTTGTAAACCAGAATACATGTTAGTGGGATTATGAGCTAAACATAGTTAAAATTAAAATGTTAACATATGGTTTATGCAGCCACTATATATGTATTAAGAAGACTTATTACGACAAAGTAAATGCAATAATTTAAAAACTTTTTTTATGAGAATTACATATTTCTTCATTTTAATATTCATTATTTAATTTTTTCATAATAATACAAATAATAACATGACTTAATCATATACTTAATGAAAAGTTAACTTTTTGTCATTAAAAATGACTATGTAAAATCATGGCCTACTGTGCTGACAAGCAATTCAAACATACAGTTATGAAAAGGGTCTTAGGTCTCTATTTTTGATCTATTATTGTTTTTGATTATTTTTAAATGATTTTAATGAATGTCTGAGATACTGTGATGATATTGAATTTGCAGACGATATAGACAATGTAGTACCATCAAAATATATTAATATAATTGATGAAATAAACTCAATTTCAAAATATCTAAATAGTGGTAAAAAACAATCTATGCTATTTGGTATGCAATTGTCAACCTTTCCAAAAAATCTAGATTTAAATTATAATAATACAAAAATTCCATCAAGTAACATTTATAAATATACAGCAGAAACTATGGATAACCACCTTAGTTTTCAAAATTTCAAAAACTTGTTTAAAAAGGTAGCTTCCTGCCTTTACTTGATGAAGAAGATACCTCATCTATTGACAATGGATACAGAAAAAAATATTTATATTTCCATAATGTTACCAATAATGACATATTGCTGAATTGTACGCTTGAAGAAAACTAGCAAGCAAACAAATAAAACTATTAATTTAGAAGCTAGAGCTGTTGTAATATTTTCGAACAACTATATAAATAAAGTAATCACTATTCCATCACAAAATTCTTAGAAAAAGAGTTTGTGTATTAGTTTATAAATGTTTATATGGGACAATGTGTAAAAATTTTAATTGTAACACCCATGTGTAAAAATTTTAAAAGTTATTTTACAAAACAAAAACACTCAAAACAAACAACAATAATCTCTGTTTTGATTCAAAAAAAAATTTTTCTTAGCAAATTTAAATAAAAATTTCAAAAAAAAAGAATATATATATAAAAAAATTTCAAAAAAGAATATCTTAAGAAACCATGAAAAAATTTTTTTATATGTTAAAAAACCATAAAACTCATAAAAGGAACATGGCAAGCCATGCAAACTGCTCCTCTAAACAGCTTCTTACAGAGCTTTTGGTTTTTGCCTGAGCTATCTGTTTATTAATTTAAAAAATTGCTTATTAAATAAAAAATTTGGTGTAATACTTGTTACAAGCATATGTTTGTAACGTTAATGTTGCAAGAATATATACATTAAGTATAAGCATTATTTATTATGCCGTAAAAAAGTTCTTTAGACGAGCATTGTCTATGAGTTTTCACTTTAGCTATCCAATTATTTATTAACAACATTACTTATTTGATAAAAAATTTAACAAAAACTTATTAAAAGTTTTTACTGCTTATAAAAATGTTTTATATTTTTTTATTGTAATAGAGTGCGAGCATTTTAAGAATTATTACAACAATTAAAAATTCTACAATAAAAGTGTTTAATATATAAATGTAATTAATATATAAAATATATAATTCATTACACAAAATTAAAAATATTAATTTAGTTTAATTATTATTATTATACTAATTTAGAGAGTAATAGTTTAATTTTTTATCAATTCAGAGTGTAGTAATTTTATATTTATCTAATCATTTACATTTAAATTGATGCTCTTTTTTTATTATTCTTTTTTGTAACGATGCCTTTTAAAAAGAATAGCAGTTTATTATGCTATTAATTTTTTATTTCTTATAAAATTGAATTTTTCATTTTAGTTATAATTTTTTCATTTTAATTACAATGTTAATAAATCTTTTAAGAGAAAAAATTATACTCTAGCGAGAGCCGTAAATTGCTCCAGTTAACTGTTTTAGGAGAGTGCAAGAGCAAGAGGTAAAGCTCTAAAGTTAAATATATACATAAATATATTAAATATATAGGTGAAATATATATATATGTAAATATATACCTTCAAGATCATCAACCAATCTATTTAATGTCTCGAAATGTTCATATGGTGGAAGACTAAAACAAAACAAAAAATAAGATTAATATTATAACAACATCTTATAAAAACAACAACAACAACAACAAAAACCTTATACACAAAGAATCATCATATACACAACAACTTAGTTTATTTCAAAACTTTAATGTGAATTAGATTTTTAAATTAACATCAATGTTAATCAGATTTTTAAATTCCTTTAAATAAAGTATTAAAAAGTTTTTTTAAAAAAGTTTTTTTTTGAAAGAAACTTTGATTTTTTTTTCAATTAAATAAAAATATTCAAGGACATTTATCTAAACTGGAAAAGTCATAAGATTTAGTAAAATATGTGTAAACTTTTACATCACTTCTGATCAAAGCTGATGTAAAAGCTTTTATATTAAATTTCAAATTTAACATTGATTTTAATATAGGTAAAACTATACGATTCTTAAATATTATATGACTTAATCATATGGGTCTTTTGGCATTTTAATTCTAGATTGCTAATTTAATTATTTGTAACTTACAAATGCAAATATAAATATTTGTGTTTTAAGTTAAGAAAGGCATTAAAATAGTTATGATGTCAATATCCTATATACTCTCCAGAATATCCTGTATATTCTCCAGAATATCCAATATACTCTCTATAATACTCTTTTGAATCTGAATCAATATTCATTTGAAATATCTTCAAAGAAAGGTTGTTCTAAATATTTAACTCTCTGTTGAGTGGTTTATTCATTTACTAATTTATACTTTTTTTTAAGAACTAAAAAATAATTTTCATTACAAATATTAAAATAATTTTTAATTAAATAGAGTGCAAATGCTAATGCAATAATATAGTGCATTATTACCAATTACAAACATGTATTGTTCCTAACCCTGAGCAAGACAATATTTTTTTAAATTATAAATGTAATTATATATATATATATATATATATATATATATATATATATATATACATATATATATATATATATATATATATATATATATATATATATATATATATATATATATATATATATATATATATATATATATATATATTTATATGTATATATATATACAGTATTGGACAAAACATTTGCAACCAACATCGAACAATGCTAAAAAGTGTTCCCAATTTTACATGTCTTAAAAACAAAACGAACTATACTACCACAGCAAACAGTTCAGGAGTCTGGAGTCATAGCATGCCATGATATGAGCAATCAGCTGACAGGTGACAGCACACAGGCAGAATTTCGTTGACAAGTTCTATTTTGCAGCGGACAAAACAAGTGCAACCTTTTTGGTTTGTTTCATTTTCTTAAGTCTGGTCCATGTCAATATCACGGAAGTTTTTTATTACATCAATACAGTCAACATCCAAACAAGACGTTGTGTTCCACAGAACATTATTGTATCATCACAAGGTAAATGTAACACAGTAAGAAGCATGATTGTTTACTTTTATTATTTTTATGACTTCAAGTGCAAAAATGGCTCCTGACAGTCTTGGATTGGATCTAAGAAAGAAAATTATTGGTGATTACATAAGTGGAATGTCACAAAAAAGTTTTTGTGATAAATATCGCGTGAAAAAATGGACCGTATCAAGACTATGTTCCAAATATTGTTCTATGGGGAAGTTGGCAGCAGATAACAAAGGTGGAAGACCGCGTTCCACCACTTCTAGAGAGGATGATCGTAAGATCCGTCAAGAAAGATCTCTGGACATTATAAGTCGAGATACAAAAGTAATTAGAGCTGCCTGTATCGGACCGAACAATCAGACGTGCTGTTGAAGCCGGATTGTTTTTTCGACGCCCTGCAAAGAAACCGCTGATTTCACTAAAGAACCAGAAAAAAAGACTCCTGCTTGGTACATCTCATATCGACTGGAATGTGGAGAAATGGCGAACTGTCCTGTTCAGTGATGAATCGAAGTTTAACATCATTAGGAGCGATGGCATTTGTTGTGTACGTCGACCGGATTGAAAATGCCTCGATTTACGTTACCGCCATAAGACTGTGAGACATGGTGGAGGCAATGTAATGGTCTGGGGGTGTTTTTCTGCTAACGGTCTAGAAAACACACTGCAAAAGTAGTCAAGCAGTGGTTTCAAGACAACTACCTATCGGTGATGAATTGGCCACCTCAATCTCCTAATCTCAACCCTATCTAGAACCTGTGGGAGATCGTCAACAGCAGAATTAATCGTGAAGGTGTTCGTAATAAGGATCAACTGTTTGAACAAATTCAAAAGGCCTGGGTAGCGATTCCACAAAGTTTCATTGATCACCTGATCGAATCTATACCTTGAAGATGCAAGGCTGTAATTAACAACAAAGGATTCACCACGAAATATTGATAGCAAAATACAGCTTGGTCAACATTTTGTGGAGTTGCACTTGTTTTGTCCAGAAGGAAATCAACTTTTGATTAATTTATTAATACTTAAAAATACTTTTGATGTATTTATTAATACTTAAAAATACTTTTGATTAATTTATTAATACTTAAAAATACTTTTGATTAATTTATTAATTTTCGTGTACAAATAATGAGCTTTGTGATGAATAAAACTTGAAGAACGTTGTCTCTAAACAGTAACATATTTATTTCTCTAAATTGAAAAAATGCAGCATTTTTATAAAAAAGAAAGTAAATTAGCATTATTTGGTTGCACTTGTTTTGTCGGATACTGTATATATATATATATATATATATATATATATATATATATATATATATATATATATATATATATATATATATATATAGGCCTCAGCGAGAAGCGAGAGCTTTAGCTCTCGCTTGCCCACTGAAACGGTTTATGAGAGCTATTTACAGCTCTTGCGAAAGTATAATTTTTCTCATAAAAGCATAATTATCATTTCAAATAAAATAAAAAACAATGCCATTTAAAAAAAATCAACTGCATAATATACTGAAATACTTTTTAAAAGCCACGGTTGTTGCAAAAAAAAATTAGAATTAAAAGAGAGCGCTGATTTAAATGAGGAGCAGCTCGCACAGCTCCCCAAGTTCATTTTAGGAGAGCTCTTCTCCGCTCTCGTACTTATTTATTCCCGCCGAGGCCTGATATGGTTCCTAATTTTATTATAACGTTATTTATTTTATAGATAATGTATTATAAAAAAAAAGACAACAAAAAGAGTTAAAATATGTATTTAGAAAGCTATTATTGACAATTAATTTTTGACAATTAAATATAAAGTCAGCATTGTAAAAAAACAAAACAATGATCTATAAAAAGTTGTGTAAAGTTATCAATGTTGAATTTCAAAGTATATGCATATGTGTTTCTATAAAACACTTTTAAAAAATAAGTGCATTATACAAGTACATACCCAATCAAGTTAAAGCAACCCCTCCATTCACTACCTCCATTCACTACCATGAAACTTTGGTATAAAAAATCAAATACTAAATTTTTTGAATTTAAATTTTTAAAATAAAATTAAACTTTTCTTATTTATTAATTCAAAGTTACTTTAATCAGTACAAACTACTTGCTTCCGCTTTTTCACCAAAGAAAATCCAATTCTCTCTTTACACAGACTTACAACATATTTTTAATCTTTAGTATGCTCCACTTGCCTTCAGTAGTTTCAATCAGCTTACTTTTTTTCTAATGTTTTGAATTTAATTCCTTTAGAGGCAGAAACATTTAATTAAAAAAGTTGGATTATGGAGGCAGCAAACTCGTTTGTTGGTTTATGCTCCTTTATTTAAAAAAGTTGTCAAATTTTAGATAGTTGATTGAATGAAAAATTAATTAATGGTTTCATTAGAATTTAAAAATTACTTTAAGAGTATAACATAATAAAACTAAATGATCAGTAACTTTCAACTCTAATTAGTGGCTTGCAGCTTTGTTGGAAGCGAAGATGTTTGAAAAAAAACCAACAAACCTCTATGAGATATTAAAAAAAAAAAGTAGAAAAAAAAGATTATCATATATTTTTATTTCACTCTGAATCAATAAGTGAAAAAAAAATCAAAAATTTAGCCCTAGACGGAAGAAGATGGAGGCATTAAAAGGATTAAAAAAAAAAAAAAAATGATTTTAAACTTCGTTGAGTAGTTAATTTGTTAAGATTTTAGTTGGATCAAAATAAAATACAAAAAAATCAGGCTTTTACGTTTTATATTTTATTTTTACCAAATATTGTATTAAACGCATTAGTATGATGATGGGTACCCTAATTTTTGTATGTTTGCCAGGTATCTGGTAATTTGAAATTACCCAATACCTGGTACACCACAGAGTTTTCCAGGTAACCAACACCTCTTTTTGTATTTTTGGGTTGCCAGGCACCTTCAAAAATTAAAAGGCAACTCCAAAACTACCAGTCACCTCCAATAATTGTAAGGTAAACTAGCATACCTAAAAAAATTCCCAGGTACCAGGCACATCTCTATATGTTACATAATGTTAAATTCTGTTACATATACTTTATAATCAATACAATAACATAATGTACGTAATGCTAGTACATGGTTGCAAAATCTTTTTCTGCAATGACAGCATTACATCTACGTGGCATTGAATCAACCAACTTAAAACATCAACTTGTATTCCAAATGCATTTGATCAACTTAATCAAATCCTGATGATTAGTTGGCCATTTTTGATATTTTTGAAGCTGTTAAAAAATTGCTAAACGATTTTGGCACAAGCTTCCTCCATTGAACAGTGCTAGATGGAACTCTAGAGCATCATATATTCTTCTTGACTATTTTCTTATACCAACATGGAGGTGTGAAAGTACAGCAACTTTTATTGCAAATCATTGGAAAAAACTTTAGTTAAGCAAACAATTCTTTGATGATAAATCATATGACTATATGCTTGATGCATTGACTGAAATTAAGTGTACAGCTGCTTTAAAGTGCTTTATGAAATACTGGAGCAAAAAAGATAGTGCAGTTTTATTCCAAGAACAAACATCATTGCTGAATGAGGCATTAAATTGATGAAAGATCTCCTTCAAAATTCAAAAAAAAAAAAAAAAGGAATATGCAAATGTGAAATTTATTGGAAAGAATGACCTATGAAGCATTAAAACTGACTTGCTGAAAATAATTACTTTTATTGATCCACTTTAATGATATGTAGTTTATAAATACTAAATATAATTTACAATTAGTTTTATTTATTTTTGTGGCTGTTCATAAATGGGTTGAAAATAAGCTTTATGTGTCCTTATGTAATCTATGAAAAATCATGTTATTATCAAGGGAAGGGGGGGGGAAGGGGATATTTTTGCAACTAGACTACCATTAAACCAGTTTTTTTATCAATTACTCAACATTTCTCAGGTTATAGAAGTATGGCCACAACAGATTCAAAAAATGTCATAACCCTAATATATATATATATATATATATATATATATATATATATATATATATATATATGCATATATATATATATGCATATATATATATATATATATATATGCATATATATATATATATATGCATATATATATATATATATATATATATATATATATATATATATATATATATATATATATATATATATATATATATATATATATATATATATATATATATGTTTTTGTTTAAAAAAAAAATATGGAGAATAATAAAAAAACTAAAAAAAACAAAAAAACTTTGGAAGTACTTTTTTTTTTGATGTTTTGGATTTTGCAATGTCGCACAATCATCATCAGATTCATTATCATCATCTTCTGTGTTGTTGCCACTATTTAAAGATGCCAATTCTGGTGTGGCGTTAAATGGATGCTGGTTAAGAGCAGGAGAAGGTGTTGACCGAGGAGGTGTATCTTCTCCCTTAATAAACAAATATTATTTCAGCACAATTAACTAGAAATGACTTAATGATATTATTCAATATTATTGACAGAAATTAAAACAACAAAATTAACAAGACTTTTTGATACAAATACAGCATAGATATTAAAACAACAAAATTAACAAGACTTTTCGATACAAATACAGCATAGATATTAAAACAACAAAATTAACAAGACTTTTTGATACAAATACAGTATAGATATTAAAACAACAAAATTAACAAGACTTTTTGATACAAATACAGTATAGATATTAAAACAACAAAATTAACAAGACTTTTTGATACAAATACAGTATAGATATTAAAACAACAAAATTAACAAGACATTTTGATACAAATACAGTATAGATATTAAAACAACAAAATTAACAAGACTTTTTGATACAAATACAGTATAGATATTAAAACAACAAAATTAACAAGACTTTTTGATACAAATACAGTATAGATATTAAAACTTTTAGTTTAATAAAAATTTTCAATTTTCATGTTTTTTTTAACTACTCAGACAAATTTCTTAAAAAAAAACAAAAAAACTTAGTTGTAAATTATTAAAAAAAAACTATAATGGATGCTTATAACAAAAGATAATGAAAAAAATTGTATTAAAAAATAACCAAAAAAAATTGTATTAAAAAATGAGTTATTTTGATATTGATTATTAGAAAACCTTTATTGAAAATTAAATCAATAAGAAATTTGAAAACACTATGATTTGCTTTTTGTGATATAATATTATCTTCTTAGGAAGACATAACTTTTGTATTCAAAATGATTAAAATTTTATCTCAAAAAACTTTGAGATAAATGAGATTGCTCAAATAAAGTTTTGCACAAATCTTTTTTTGTAAAAAAAACAAAAACAAATTTTGGACAGTTACTATACTGATGATCAAAGAAAATTTTTTATAAATTCTGTATAAAATGCTGTATAAAGTGTTGTAGTAAATGCTTTAAGACTAAGACACACAAAGATATTTGTATGTATGCATGGATTTAAAATCATTTTAATATAATCAAGAAATATATATAAATATCTTTGTGTACCTTTGTCTTAAACCACCATTTAACATCTTAATAACTTTCAAATAAAACATCATTTATTTAAAAAAAACTTTAAAAATGTTCCTGAGGAAACTTATTTTTTTGTAATGATTTTATTTTTGAGATTATTGTTCTTATAAAAACAGACTAAAGAAAACTAAAGAAAATTGATATCAACACTCTATACAGCATTTAAAACAGACACAACTAAAGAAAATTGATATCAACACTCTATACAGCATTTAAAACAGACACAACTAAAGAAAATTGATATCAACACTTTATACAGCATTTAAAACAGACACAACTAAAGAAAATTGATATCAACACTTTATACAGCATTTAAAACAGACACAACTAAAGAAAATTGATACCAACACTTTATACAGCATTTAAAACAGACACAACTAAAGAAAATTGATATCAACACTTTATACAGCATTTAAAACAGACACAACTAAAGAAAATTGATATCAACACTTTATACAGCATTTAAAACAGACACAACTAAAGAAAATTGATATCAACACTTTATACAGCATTTAAAACAGACACAACTAAAGAAAATGGATATCAACACTTTATACAGCATTTAAAACAGACACAACTAAAGAAAATTGATACCAACACTTTATACAGCATTTAAAACAATTTTTTTTAAATGTTTGGTTGTTATGTCACATTTTTAAATGTTTGGTTGTTATGTCATATTTTTAAATATTTGGTTGTTATGACACATAGGCAATTTCTACTAAGGTTAAAAAATATTTCCAAGAAATTATTTTGTAATTCTATGCATAGTTATGTATATGATTTTCAAAAGTTTTAAAAATATTTTTAGGCTTACAAAGAAATATAGGCGTTAAAAAACTAATATGTTCCACTGATATATTTTTTACAACTGTTTTATACTAAGTAAGCCCAAGTTTTAAAATATGTAAAACCCATTTTAAAACATTAAATAAAATTCAACAAAAATGAAAATTGTTTACTTTGTTTTCACATCACACAAGTTATTGCAAGGAAATTTATTCAAAATAAGCAAAAGGAAAGAAAATCTTAAGATGTTCTAAATAAAAATAATGAATTTTATTGTAATAAAATGGCAAGTACCAGAGTAAAGCTACAATAACACACTAAAGTGTTTAATAACACACTAAAGTGTTTAATAACACACTAAAGTGTTTAATCTTTCCTAATTGTTTCAGATCAGATATAATCTAAAAAAAAACAACAGTTTGCTAAGTTTATATTTGTTGCCCAAACTTTAATTTTTTTTACATCAACTAAAATGACGCAGTACAGAAGAAAAGTAAAAAGTACAGAATGAACATCTTTATTTTTTAATTTTTTAAACAAAAATACACTTTTTAAATAAACTTTTAATGCAAACATAAAAAACTCACAATTTTTTTATCTTTTGAGTGGATATTATATTATATGGTATTATGGTATGGTATATGATATTATGTGGATTACATATTAAATCATAAACTTCAAACAATAAGCTTCAAACATTTCAGATGTTAATGCTTATTGTATGGAATTCTGAAATTGGATGGTGCTGATTGGATAGTGCTGAAAAAACAGATTCAAAAAAGGTTTAGAATGGGCTAATTTAGGGATCATCAAAAAGAAATAAACAACAGTTTTGATTTTATTATCGAAAGAAACTTGTCAGATTAGTTATAATCTCTTTGAATTTTAATTTAATAAAAGTCTATAAAACTCAAACAATATAAATGCAATAAAATGTTACAGGATACACAAACCATACATTTTAGAAACTTACATATGATCTACGTATAGTGCTTTGTCCAACATCTTCTTCAAAAATATTTTTTTCAAATTCTTTTTCTAAATTTAATAAAACACGATTAAGATATTTTATAAACACCATATGGAAGCATCTTTATTTTTTATAATATAATTAACATTTATATAATTTATATAATTTGGTAATAATTTTAGTTCAAACTTAATTTTTTTTTAAATTTGTTATTTAGGTGCCCCAAGAAGTCCTAACGGTCTTGTCACAGAGCACCGCGGAAGTGCATTCAACCAGAAAGTTCACGCCTGCTTCCTTACAGCCTAAAAGAATACTTGGATGTATATTAGGGTTGTTAACCGGAGGATTTTGTGCAATTCTGGAAAAACAACATTCTTTCGTAAGGAGATTAAGTTCATTTCGCAAATGCTATATCCGAAATTTAGCATTTCGCAAGTTGACATACGAAAGTAGCAGTATCGCAAGTTGCAACATACGAAAGTAGCGGTTTCGGAAGTCGCACTTGCGAAACAAGTTTTAAAGTCTATAAAGAAAATTTGTTTGCTAGACTGATTTTAATTGTAAAAATTAACATCTTTAAATCCCAAAATGTTTATAATAAATTTTTATTTTCATTATAAGAACATATTAAATTTTTATGGTTTTATTTCTAGAATTATTGATAAAAAACAAAATTTCTTTCGAAACGAAAGTATTTTGCATCACAACATACAAAAGAGTTCTTAAAGGAAACAAACTTACGAAACGCGCCATAATAAATATATAAATGATTTTTTTTGAATTCATTATGTAAGAATGATGGGGAGGAATATACATGTTTTTTTTTTAAAGCATATGAAATTTTTGAAACAGGTTCGAATATGCTTAAGCAAAAAGTAAAAAGAGGCTCAAAAATATGCTTAAGCCTAAGCATATTTCTAATAAAATATACCTATTTCAATAATTTCTAAAAGTGCGCGCATTACTAAAGGTTAATGGGTATAAAAAAAAATAAAAAGTTGACCTATGCTCTGTATTTTTGTTTTGGTTTTAATGTAGCTGAATTAATGTTGTGATAAACTTCGGTTTTTGTAGTTTTTGTTGGTTTAAATTTAAAAATATATATATTTAATATTTTTGATTAAATAAAAATAAAATTTTTAAAATGGTTTATCAAGGCTCAGGAAAATCCTTCTATATGCTTACTTTTTTTCCAAATCTATAAGCGATAAGCTAATAAAAAATAAAAAAAATAAAACGAGTATATACAGTAGAATTCAGTTATCTTGGTCCCTGGATGAGTAGGACTTTGGAGCTATCTATAAATGATGTCAGTAAATATAAGGGGGAGGGGTACTGAAAAGTTTGACAAGAATTGACAATGGGGAGAGGGTGTTAAGACCAAAATAATGTCCATTTAAGAAAAAAAAAATTCAAGTTTATTAGCCAAATTCACAACAGAAACCTGGGTCTATTTGTAGGGAAAAAAATAAAAATGGTAGCTTTGTTTAAACCTTTTTATTGTATCTTAAACCTATTCTGTTTGTGTTTTTTATTCAGAAAAAAGTTTAAATTATTAGCTTTAGCTATCCTAGATTTTGAAATAAAAAGACATTCTAAAGACGCAAATGGGAAACTAATAGGATTTTATTGCCTTCCACGTGTAGAAGCTATTAAGAACAAATACAAAAAACTTTTTAAAGCAGTTGGAATGAATTGAGATCATGATCACATTTGGTCACAATACAACTTTAAATTAAAGTCTTGATTTTTATTGAAAAAGATTTGAAATTTATATAAACAAAACTATCTATATACAAAAAAAGAATTCACATGATTTTGCTGTTATTTATAACCTACCATTTTAATTTTTTTCCCTACAAACCGCGTTATATGAATTTGGCTAATACGAGCAGATTTTAAAGGTATTTACATCTACAATGTGGTATAGAAATAGCATATTTGCATTGTGGGGAATTCGATGTAAGTTTCCTAGAGACATAATATAAATTAAAAATTTACTAACGTTTTACTATTTGTCTGAAAATCTAATTGTTTATAAATATAAACAATTTGTATATAAATTTTACAATCATTATTTGATCCCAGCGAATTTTAAAATGTGTTTTAAAGGAAACACATAAAGTCATTTGTCATTATTATCGAAGAACACTTCAACAACTCATGGGAAGACGATGAATGATTGAATTTATATTATAGATATAGAATAAAATTTTCAATAGTTTCTTTAGTATTTGATGAGTAATCAACTGATCTACAAAACAATATGCAGAGATATAAATGTATAATTTAACCTGAAAAAATCAATAGTGCTTACACATATTTTTAATGTTACTTTAGGGAAGGGGGTATAAAATTTGACATCATATATAAGGGGGGTTTTGCCAAAAATTGACAGTTTGACAAAAAGGGGAGGGGGTTTAAAAATTGAGAAAAATCACAGACATCAATTATGGACAGCCCCTTTTACTAAGTTGGAAAGTTTTTCAATTTTCTTTGAACGTTCTATAAATACCAAGAGCTATGCTTAACTCGGACATTTAAGTCGTACTATTAGTCTGTTCCGATTGAGAGTCCAACTTAACGGTATTTTAGTGTATATATATATGTATATATATATATATATATATATATATATATATATATATATATATATATATATATATATATATTTATTTATATATGTATGTATGTATGTATGTATGTATGTATGTATGTATGTATGTATGTATATATATATATATATATATATATATATGTATGTATGTATGTATGTATGTATGTATGTATGTATGTATGTATGTATGTATGTATGTATGTATGTATGTATGTATGTATGTATGTATGTATGTATGTATATATATATATATATTTAAATATATATATATATATATATATATATATATATATATATATATATATATATATATATATATATATATATGTATGTATGTATGTATTTATGTATGTATGTATGTATGTATGTATGTATGTATGCATGTATGTATGTATGTATGTATGTATGTATGTATGTATGTATGTATGTATGTATGTATGTATGTATGTATGTATGTATGAATGTATGTATGTATGTATATATATATATATATTTAAATATATATATATATATATATATATATATATATATATATATATATATACATATATATATATATATATATATATATATATATATATATATATATATATATATATATATATATATATATATATATATATATATATATATATATATATATATGAAGGGTGCAAGGGGAAAACCAATGATGTCACATTTTAACATTTTTTGAGTTATTATCCCAGCTATGTTAAAGATAAGTTTCTGCATCTTTACACAAATGGACATGAAAAAAAAAAAGTTAAATCACACCTAAATTTTTATGTGAAAAAAGGGGTCGCAAGGGGTAAACCAGAGATGTCCAAGTTGTTCAAGGGGTAAACCGGAGATGTCCAAAACCCTTTGCGCAGAATAGGAATTTTGCTACTTTTCAGCCAATCGGATTTGTTTTCGCCAAAAACATAATACTCTTATATTTGCTGAAATGGCGGACAAATGTCAGTATCCTGATATATCAGAAATTCCAAAAAAGAAAAAAAAACATGGTCGAAAGTGGGAAAGAAATAGAAATGAACGAATATCATCACATGTTATTGGTTTTCCGTGTCATTGCAAACGGTATAAGTGTTTTGAAGAAACGACAGTTGAAGAAAGGGAGTTTTTACTGTTGTACTTTAATAAAATGCAAAATAAAGATCATCAAGACAGTTTTCTTGCTTCAATGATTAAGGTTTCAAGTATTAAACGAAGAAGACTTCGGAAAAAAGAAGAAAAAAGGTTTCTTCGTGATCATTCATTCTCTTATTATATCAAAGTGGCACGAGGTAATAATATCGTAAGAGTTCTAGTTTGTATCAATGCTATCTTATCAATATTTGGCATTGGAAAATCAAGAATAGAAAGAATAAGAGGATCTCTTGTTAAGACAGGTTAGTAAAAATAAATAAACATTATTAACATGCAGTATTAAGTACTAATTATTCATTTGAATAAATAATACACACACAAATTTATCTTTTATAAAAGAAAAGACTTTGTCTGAATTTAAGCCCCTATAAATTATGATAAAATTTGATTTAATCAAGTTAAAACATAGAAACATAATAAGCTTGTACATTTGACTTTTTTAAGGAGTTCCTCCTTTAAACCAGCAAGGAAAACATACAAATCAACCTCTCGCCTTTTCAGAGAATATTGTAAATAGTATCATTGATCATATCAAATCTTTTAAAGGACGCCAAAGTCATTATGCTTTGCATGAAACTAGAAAGTTGTATTTGCCAGAGGATCTTAATTTATCGAAAATGTATAATATGTACAAAGAGCGTTTCCCACAAAATAAAGTTTGTCGTGAAAGCTACAGGTACTTTGATAACATTTATTTGCTTATTTATGAGTTTTATTTCATATTATCGAATTGTCTACTTTTCTTATCAGGAAAATATTTGCAGAAAAATTTAACATCAGCTTTGGTTATCCTCGTAAAGATACTTGCTCAACATGCGACAAGCTCAATATTATACTTGAAAATCAAGACACTGCTGCAGATCATCAGATCATCAAAGCTAGTCACGAAAAAGAACTTCATTTGCGAAAAGCAGAAATGTTTTATACCAGAAAGAGAGAAGCACGTAGTAATTTAAAAACTTGTCATGTAGCTCTTGCTTTTGACTTTGCGAAGAATACGAGTTGTCCTAATGTTTCTACAAATGATGTTTATTATCGTAGACAGCTCTCTATGTACACATTTAATATACACTGCTTAGGGTCAAATAGTGTTCACTTGTTTTGTTACGATGAAACTTATGGGCAAAAAGGAGCGGACAATGTAGCGAGTATGCTGGAGTACTATTTTGAAGACATTATACCAAAAGATGTATCTCATTTGCAGCTTTTTTGTGATTCCTGTGCTGGGCAAAATAAGAACTGGACTGTTATTCGTTTTTTGCACTTCAATGTTGTGAATAAAAAACGGTTTCACGAAATAAAGATATCTTTCCCAATAAGAGGCCACAGCTACATGGAGTGTGACCGAGATATGGTGTTAGTTAATCAAAAGGTTCGAGCAGAGCTACCAGTAAATTGGATGGAAGAATATCATACCTGTCGTGAGAAACCTTCGCCATTTAAAATTATCAAGATGGAACTGAAAATGTTCTTTAATTTTTCTGATCATATGAAACAATTTTACAAAGTTAAATGTCCAATACCAACACGTCCTATACGTGAAATAATTTTCTCTCAAGATTTTCCTACTGTGTTACAATACAGATTTAATTGGAATGGACCTTTTGAAAGAGTTGCCATAACAAAAGCTATAGGAAAAAAGAAGCAGTTATTGCGAAAACCCCTCACACGTTTGTACAACGAGAGATTGCCGATCAGCTGTGCCAAGTATGCGGACCTTCAAGTTCTAAAATATTTTTGCATGCCAGAGGCCCAGCAGTTTTTTAACGACCTGCCTTACAAAGGTCAGTTAAGTGATGATGAATTAGTATCAGAATTGTCTGAATATGAGTCAATTTAAATTACTGTAACAGTTAGTGATTAAAGGAAAAAGATAAATTTATTTTGAAGTCATACTAAATTTTGTTTTTACATAATATTTATTACTTTATTATTTTAAACATAGTAGTATATTTTTAAAAATATATTAAAAAAGACTTGATTTTTCAACAGTAATCATTTTTGTATTATAAATCTTAAAATAAAATCGAATTCTTTTACACTCTTTAACGTACATTTTTTTTAAAAGCAAAATTGTGTTAGATAATTCATTATTTTAGACTAGGGGTGGAAAGTTGTTGAAATATGGATTAACCAAATAAATTTAATACATATTTTTTTTTAAACATAATATTACAGAAAAGCTTATACAACAACTTATAGGCGGTATGTGATAATAAATCCCTTTTGGAGTTTTTTTTTTTTTTTTGCACCTTCTTGCTTTCCCTGACAGTGCTTATTATTTGAATTAAAAAAATTTAAAATTAAACATAACAGTCATGCATTTGAATGTATTATAAAAAAAATTGAACATTGCTTTGGTTTCTAAATTAAAAAAAATCCAATTGCAAGGGGATAACCAGTGATGTCCAAAAATGACACTGAATCCAAGATTCAATGCAGCATGTATAACTTACATTCACATTTCAAAATTTTATGCCAATATATCAAGTAATAGATCGTACTAATTTAAAAACTATACAAATATATATGGAGCTGGTCATAGCATGTAATATAAGTCTTCAAACCTTATTTTTCCGTTTTCTCAAAATGAAAAAAAACGTGACATCACTGGTTTTCCCCTTGCACCCTTCATATATATATATATATGTATATATATATTTAAATATATATATATATATATATATATATATATATATATATATATATATATATATATATATATATATATGTTAGATATATTTGTATAAACACTTAAAGAATCATTTAACAACATTATTTTATAATTTTATTATTTATTATTTAAATTGTTAACAGTTAATATCTTAAATATATTGTTACTGCACATTCCGGAATGCATCTTCTGTAAGGAACTATTTCATAAGTATTCTTACGAAATGATTTATTTTGCAAGTTTTCTTTTGCAATGGGTTATTACGGAATTTTTTTTATTTATATTTTCGTATACGCATTATGGAATGTGCATTTTCGCATGTGCAACTTCTGCAATAACAATTCTATTATAGTAGATAAAGATGCAAAATTTTCGCAAGTTTTGTTTTTCGGCGAACAACCCTAATTTAAACATCTTTTAAAATAAAAAACATTTAGCAGTAATTAATTGCTGTAAAAAACATAAGTGAAATATTTTTTTTATTAGATAAAGAAAATTTTTATTTTTTAATTTTTTGAAAAAAAAAAAATTTAATTTATTTTATTATATTTAAATTAAATTTATTATCAAATATGAATAAATACAAATTTATTTTATTAAATTAAATTTTTAAAAAAATTTTAAAACGCTCCGTTTCACAATTATTTTACTGCTAAAATTTACAAACTATGTTAAAAAAAAGAAAATTTTTAAAAATAAATTTAATTCAAGTTACTTTAAAATGTTTGTATTACATTTAATTATTTTGTTTATTTATTTAAAATCAATTAAGTCAATAATTTTATTTACATTCCGTAACAAAATTGCTTAATGCTCTTATAACTGTATATAAATGAATTGCAGGATAAATCATAATCAAGCTTGTAGGCAAAATTATTATATTTATTAAAAATATTTTAGAGAATTTTATATAACAAATTTATGAAAAGATCATTTTTTCAGTTTTAAAATTGCTTTTTAACAAAAGTTTTTTTTTATCATAAATTTTTTGATCATAGAATGAACATCGATTAGAAATGATTAGCAGTATGCAGTCTTCTCCATTTAAACAGTGCTTTTGTGCTTAAGTCTTTTCGCGCAAGCCCACATGCCCACAAAAACTTGGAGCACACTTGGCAAAAAACTAAAAGTGTTTTGTTTTAAATTGCAACAAAACTTTTTTGTTCATTTGTGCAACTTTTATAAAAAATAGCTTATTTTACCAGTTTTTTTAAAATTTATATTATCTATTAATTATCTATTAATGCTTTAAATAAATACTTAATAAATTAAGTATTTATTTAAAGCATTCTTTATGCTATTTTTATTATAATTTAAATAGCAGAAAAAAAATGAATTTTTTAAATTGTGCAGGCTTACTTAAAAATGACCATTCTGCCTGCGCTTTTTTGTGTGTTGGCAATTAACATGTTAGCATAGAGAGAAGACTGAAAACCAAATGTTAAAAAAAAAAAAAAACGTTGATAGTTTTTATTTATTTTTTGACCATTAAGAAATTTAACCATTAGCTATTGCCCCCTTATTTAAAAAAAAAAAAATAAAGTTTTTTAAAAAAAGGAAATTTTTTTTTTTCAAACAACATATTTAAATTTTACCGATGGTTTGTTTTATTTATTGTTTAATTTAAACATTTTTATAAAGATTTTTTAGTTATTTAAATTTTTTAACTTATTTAAAATTACAATATTTTAAAATACGCAACTGATTAAACTTTAACAATATAAATATGTTTTATGAGTAAAGATACATTTACTTGCATTATGCTTTTTTGTTAGAAAATCTCAAAACAAGGCCTGACACTGTAACTTTATATTTTACCAGATTTTTGTTTCTTGTTTTGTATTACATGGGTATGTGTGTTTATGTATGTATGTATATATATATATATATATATATATATATATATATATATATATATATATATATATATATATATATATATATATATATATATATATATATATATATATATATATATACATACACACACACACACACATAGACATACATACATTTATTTAGTTATAATATTATATTGAATCAAAGTTATATTAAACAGCTCATGTAAACTAATAAAAACAAACAAAAAAAATAGTATGACTGACCAACAGGTGAAGGCTCTCCTCCTTGCATCATTGTAAGATTCCTTCTCAAAGTTGCACCAGGTGCAACACCAACCAATGTATCACCTTGCTGTTCTTCCTCAATAACAGCTGCCAAGTCAAATGCATTAGTTTCTCCAAAGTCATCTTCAGATTCACTCATTCCTTTACGCCGCCGAGCTCTGTCAATAAAATCTTTTATTTCTATCCTAATTTTTCGATCTTGTGAACGAGATCCTCGAATAAAATCATGCTAAAGAATGCATTTTAAACAGTGCTTTATTTGAATATAAGAGATATGTTGCTAAATTTAAACACAACAATACCTGTAGCAACTGCTCAGCTGTTGGTCTCTGTAAATAATCTTTAATCAAACAAACTGTTACAAATTCTCGAAACTTTTTAGTCCTGAAATTAATAAAAAGATATAAAGGTAAAGTTAAAAATAAATAAAAAAAAGTAAATACCAAATTTAGTTAATGTTAAAATCTAAACTATTTTTTAGTAGAAAATATTTTTTACAACTTAATTTATGTAATTTATTAAAGTATAAATTTTTTATGAGAATTTTGAAATGATTTAATTTTAGGAAACTTAAGAGAAAACACACAAAAAATATAAAATCACCATAATTTTCTTGATTTAAGACGAGGAGGTTCACTACGAGGTATGAGAAACAATGCTCGCATTGGATGCATATCACACAAAGCTTAAACAAAAATGAGATATTGCTTTTTAACATTATTTATGATTAAAACTTTTTAATAAATTAACTTTTTAATTATTTTATTTGCTAAAAAGCTGTAACTTTTTTTCAATTTATCTTTTAATTAATTTGATTTATTTATTTAATATGTAATATTTACCAATGTTGTTTTGTATACATTTAATACAACCTTATATAGTCTATTTCATTAGAATTAAAATAAACAAAAACTTAAAAAAACCTAAGTTAAAAACCAATAAAAATTACTTGTTTTTTGCATGGGTTTCTAAGTATTGAGTTTTTGGGTGCCAGCCTTGGTTACAATACAAAGAAAGAAATAGAGTTTATTGACAACAGACATTGTGGTAATTTGATTTTTATTCATGCATAATTATTATCTGCATAAATTGACATGCAGAAAAGTTTAGAAGTAATGCAAAAAGTGAAACTTAAATTTTCTCTACAATTTATAAAAACTTTTCTTAAACTATTGTTGTCATTCAAATTTAATTTTTTTTTACAATTTATAAAATTTTTCTAAAACTATTGTTGAGATGCAACTTTAACTTCCTTCACAATTAAAAAAAAAAAAATTCTCAGGAAAAATGGAAAATATTATTTAAATACTTTTGTAAACAGTTTACAAATGTATTTGAATAACATTTTCAAGCAATTAAATACTAAAATTAATAATTTTAAGTAATTAAAATAAACACTTTTTATTACTATAAATGTATTAAAGTGAACTTTTTATTACTATAAATGTATTAAAGTGAACTTTTTATTACTATAAATGTATTAAAGTTAACTTTTTATTACTATAAATGTATTAAAGTTAACTTTTTGTTAACTCTTGTAACTTTTAAATTAATATTTAGATTAAAATTACTAAAAATTCAACAACCATTAATAACATTTGTATAGAACATTAAAATAATATTTACATTAAAACCTTCAAAACTTACGAGGTTGTGACTCTGCCATTTCTATTGCAGTTATTCCAATGCTCCACATATCGCACTAATTTCAAAAATAAAAACGATTAAACAACACTAAAACCAGAGTAAATAAAAAAAACAGCATAGAAACTTGTAATAACTTGACATCTTATAAAAACTTTTAAACTGCTTACTCTGTTATCATAAGTAGCATCAGGTTGCTCATCACATACTATAACTTCAGGCGCCATCCTAAATACTCTAGAGGTTATAATTTGTAAACACCGTTTTTTTTTTGTTTTCAGAAAAGACAGTAAATGCACTCTAAAAAATTACAATGCTGCTATTAAAAGTTACCAATAAGGTGTGCCAATAAAAGTGTGTCTTCGACCAACTGTTCGATCTAACTGTGCACTTACACCAAAATCGACTAAAATAATTAATGAAACTATTAAGCTTTAAATACTTAGTAATTATCCCCAGTTCCCTAACTTTAAAATATGTAAGGATAAGTAATTTTTTATGAAACTACTTTCTGAGAAGATGAGTTTTCTTTAACTCTTTGAGCCTTACATGATTCTTATCATAATCATTTATAAGAGGTCATCCATAAAGTATGTATGCCAAAAATATAGAAATTTGACCCTCTCCCTCCTGTTGCCATGTGTACTTTTAAGTCTCCCCTCCCCTAAAAGTACGATTTTAAAATACCCCCTCCCTCTCACTTTTTTTTTTAATAATTAAAAAGGTTTTAATTTAGAAAAAATTATATAAATTAATTTGTTTATTGCCTTTATAATTTGCTGCTAACTTTCCATGCATTTTCTGTTGATTTGTTACTACTTTTTGTAAAAAATATTTATTTAATTAAAGTTAATTTACAACTTGTCTTATACGTATGTATGGCCAAGATGTTAATGCAAACGATTTAAAATTTGAGACTCAAGATTGAATCTCAGACAAGTCAATAATTACCTCTTATTTTCGAAAGTCATAATTTATTTCATATTTTTGAAATGACGAATCAAATAAAAATAAACTTTACTTTAGGCGGACATTTTTTTCCGGCACCCCTCTTTAGTAAGTCTGTAAAAAACGAGTCTTACGCAAGATGAGTAATATTGAAAACAAAGACTGAAACCCAGAGCCGAGGCTAGGGTTTCAGGCTAGGAGGCCCACACACCCTAATTGGGGGAGGGGGGATGGGTAGCAAATTTAGGGGTCCTTTTGCAAATTTAAGGAGCTTTTTAATTTAGCAAAACCTTACGGAAAATTTTTTCCTAATATTTGGCCCTAATAACAGGTTTTTAGGGGGGCCACCAACCCATTAGCATACCATACATCCATTTGGCAAACCTTTAGTCAGAAAATTAACTTTTTTATTGGATAGCTGGCGAATTATGGACAATGATGATACATTTTTTTTTTTTTTTAAAGTTGTTAATTATTCAAAAACATTTATTATTAATAAGTACTTGTATTTGTGATAAATTAGAAAAATGAACATTACTATGAATTTTTTTTAATTAGTGCTTACATACTTTTAAAAAGAACCCCTTCCCCCCATACGCCTTTGTACACTATTTGAAGACCCCCTCCCCTCTATGAGCATAGGTACTTTATGAACAACCTAACTAAATTTCAACATATACAGAAAGCATTAAAAAGAAAACTAACTTTTAAATAAATTTTTTAAATAACTTCTTAAAATATAAAACTTTTAAATAACTTCTCAAAATATTCATTGTAATTGACTAAGAATAAGAATGCTAATCAGTTATTATTTTTTCTTGTCATTCAACTAATGCCACTGAAGTCACTCTACTCAATATAAATATATATATATACACACAGAGATATATAATTTTTGTTATTCATCTCCTCAAGGCCGACAAGGCCACTACAGATGAGGAGGCTACTTAATAGTGGTTATAACCCTCTCTCAACTCTATAAGTCGAAACACGAACCCTGACAAACAAGGCCACTGGGCGGAGAAACGAGTTGAGCGCGGTACTACCAGGGACTTGGTGGGGATCAAACTTGAAACTTCTCGCTTATGAAGCGAGTGTTTTACCACAACACCACTACCATATATATATATATATATATATATATATATATATTATGCTTTGAAAAAGAAAAAAAAATTATTTTTTATTCTGATTTATTCCCAACAAGGCAACAAGCCACTATTAAGTTGGGAGTTATTATAAAAAAAGAATAGAGTTATAGAGCAAGGAAACGGTTGACAGAAGACTTAAAAAGTTGAAGGTTGTATGAATTAGGAAAATACAAAGGTGGGAGAGAGTTCCAAAGGGTTGAAGTGCGAGGAAAAAAGCTAAATGCATAAAAGTTTTAAGAGCATGCAGGGACAGATACAGTAAAAAAATTAGACTTGGCTGAATGATGAGTTTGAGTTGATGAAACTAGAGATGATAGCTTCTTTGAGCAACAACCATGATAGTATTTGTAGAAAAGAGAATGAGATGCAATTTTATGACGATGGGAAAGAGACTCAAGCTTAGCAGATAGAGCGGGTCTAACTACATTTACAATGTATTTTTGGACCTTGTCTAGAAGAAAAAGAGCATCATTAGAAGAACCAGCCTAAATATGATAAAAGTATTCCATACAAGGATGAATAAAAGATTGTAGCAATCGATTGTATATATGTTTTCCTTGAAAGGTCAGTAGTAAATGATAATCCAAGAAGACGTAAAGAAGAGGACTAAGTGAGAGGGTTGCCACTTATTAATATAGGAATGTCAACAGTACTGCAATAATAGTTGGCAGTAAATAACTGAGTTTTGTTGGAGTTCAAAATTACAAGCCCCAATCTGTTACAGAAGTGAGATCAGATTCAATTCATCGGCTGCCTGTTCTAAGCGATCAAAAAGAGAAGACTTTTTGTCAAGACAGGAGTATAAAGTTGAGTCATCAACAAAAAGAGCTACTTTACATGTAAAGTTGTTATAAAGATCATTAATGCAGATAAGAAACGAAGCAGGACCAAGGATAGAACCTTGAGGTACCCCAGAAATTTTTGGAAATAAAGAAGAGTGTTGGCCTTTGAGGATGACTTTAATAAAGTGGTTAGAAAGAAACAACTTGAAAATCTTAAAAACTTTCCCAGATACACCATATGAAACAAACTTATGGAAAAGACCAGCATGCCAAACTTTGTTGAAAGCCTGCATCAAGTGTAATAGCCCTAGCCTTTCCGTCTCCATCGAATTCATGATAAAATCTTTCAGTCACAGCAGTTAGCAAGTCAGCCATAGAGCTAGAAGATCAAAAACCTTATTGATTATCTGACAATAAGCTATTTGACTCAAGATAGGATGTGAGTAATTTGTTTATCAAAGACTCAAAGACCATGCTAATAAAAGAAAAAAGACTGACTGGACAATAATTCAAGGGGTCAGAATGTTCACCAGACTTTTTGAAATTGGAACAACAGATGCCATTTTCCAGCAGGCAGGAAGACAAGACTCAGTCAAGCACTTATTAAATAGTTTAGAGAAAATTGAAGAGAGTTCTGGAAAACAATTTTTTAAGACTATGACAGGAATGTTGTCTGGACCACAACCCTTAGAAGAGTTTTATCAAGATATGACTTTAGCAATGGAAGCTGGAGTGATTTGAATGTCTAACAATGATATCCTGTTTAATTGGAATAAAAAGAAGAGAATGGCCATTAGATTCAAGAGTCTAATTAGAAGAAAATTTTTTAGCAAACAGTTTTTTTTTTAATTTTTTTTTTAATTCACCTCCTCAAGGCCGAGAAGGCCACTACAGACGAGGAGGCTACTTATTTGTGGTTATAACCCTCTCTCAACTCTATAACTCCGAAACAGGAACCTTGACGAACAAGGCCGCTGCGCGGAAAAACGAGTTGAGTTGAGTTGATTAGTTATGCCTTATCCTTGGGAGAGGTAATATAATCAGTCTCATGAATGGGAGATGAGATGTTAGATCTATTGTTGTTAACAACACTGTTGAAGATTTTCCAGAAGTCTCAAGAGTCTAACTTCTCAGATAAGATACAAGATTTAACATCTGACAGCACCCTTTTACATCAATTTTTTGCAATAATAAATAGCCATTTGTTCTCAAAAGAGTTGTTGTTTTGAAAAAGATGAAAAAATTGATTACAATTAGATATAGCAGCTGCAAAAAAGGCTGAAAACCATGGATTAGAATGAGGCTTGACTTGGAACTGAAAAGAAGGAATAAAAGCATGCATTCCTACTATAATCCAGGAGGTTACGTAAGAGGTGCATTTTTCAGCTGAGAAGGAAAAGACATCAGCACAAGGACCATCATGAAGAAAATCATAAAAAGAATCCCAGTCAACTTTAGGGTAGTAGCAAGTAGTGCGATGATAGGGTGAGTTGGAAAAGGAGTTTTGAGATAAAAGATTTAAAGAGATCACTGCATGGTCACAACCACCTAAAGGAGAAAAAGGAGAAACTGAACACAAGCTAGGATCAGAGATTAGACATAGATCAAGGAGACGAACCACGAAGTTAACTATCTGAGTAAGAAATTGAGGAATGCAGAAGTTATAGGCTTTAATGCCAGCAGGGTCAGTGGCATTAGAGCCAAGCGATTCAGTGTGATGAGCATTAAAGTTACCAATAACAACAATATTGGCAGAGGGGTTTAGAGAGAAGGCATGGTCATTTTGATCAAAAATACCATCTAAAAGGCACTCTTTTAGATGATATTTCTGATCAAAATGACCATGCCTTTTCTCTTTAGTCTTGGGAAGAAGGAGGGCAATAAAAAACAAACAGAAAGGTGATAGAGTAAAGAGGTGCAAAGCAAAAGCACATAAAACAACGGTCAAAAGATTTGAATCTGATTTCACGACAAATAGGTAAATTTATGCGTATGTATACCATAAGCCAAGCATGTAACTATCAGAATTTTTTCAAATCAAAGGATAGTAGTAAAGGATAGGGCTGATCAAATAATGGACAAATTAAATTATTTAAATAACAAATAATTTTCGGAAAATTATTTAAATAATTCAAATAATTCAAATAATATATATAAGTTCACATAATTATTAAATCAATACCATGCATCAATTTACTTTGTACTAAAACATTTGTTTTAGTACAAAGTTTATTGGTGCATGGTAAAAACTAAAGACATTCCTTTATGGGTTAATATCTTGTTAACCAATATAAAAATATAACAAAATATTATATAGGGTAGCATATTTTATTTTATAAAGAATAAAAAAATTAGCTTATTGCTTTTGCCAAACACATGAAAACTATTTATTTCTGGTTAAATATGACCTTAAAAAACATAATGTATTGATAATTTCATCACTTTAGGATGTTTTTAGTTAAGTAATGAAAAAGCCAGCCGCGCTGAAGCATCTTTCAGCATCCACAGATGAAGGTAGCAAAGAA